CATTATAAGGTGAACAAAGCAAACCTTGGTTAGATGTACTACAACAAATGAAGGGGAAAGAAAGTGAGATTATTCATGTTCAGTAAAGATCACTCAGTACTCGCTGAAGTGAGACAAAAACAAAAATATGTAGAAGATTCAAATACTGAAGGTTTCTAATTTCCCAGATTTCATTTCAGTTTTCTAATTACAAATTGCAGCAAAGCACAGTGTAAAATCACTAGGTTATTTACTTCTGATAGAGCTGTCTAATTTCCTTACAAGTTCTTACGGTTTCAACTCCATACCATGCCAAAGAGAAGATGGTTTTCCTCATCCCACTCAGGTTCCAAAACTCCACTGCAGACCCTGTCAGCCACAAAGCAATGACCCTCAAGACTCCCGGCCATGCTGACAGAATCTGCCGAAACCCAGGGCAAGGAAGTGGCATTCCCTGGGATTTAAATAGGCCCCAGTGGTCAAATGAGAATAGCTGAAGATGTTGAAGATAACAAAAGCAGTACTTCATTTAGACTCTAAAATTTTAAGCAATTGAGAAAGACGAAAACAGGTACTAATGCTAGCAAAAAGAGATTTTTTTAAACTCAGTGTTTGTTAAATACCAGCTGCTTTTTCTTTTATTCCTTTCTGTTTCTGATCTTTGGAAAAACCACATCAGTATCAAATGTCACTTAGTTCTTATTCAAACAGAGGAAAGCAGACAGAGTGGCTGCACCCGTGACTTAGCTGACCTGGGCCCTCAGTAAAAACAAACCTCTATAAATCACCAGATGTAAGCAATTGGGCAGTGATCACTTTAATTAATTGAACAGCTTTCCTGAAATTTACTGTATAATTTCAACTCTCCCAACACCTTTCCCAGATGCAGCAAACAATGGTGGTTTTTCAGTAAGTTGTTAAAAGGAGGAAAACATTTTTAACATCAGTGGCTTAAATATATTTTTAAATTATTCAAGATTAAGGTGGTAAACTACTTAATTTTAGAAATTAAACCATATTCATTCTAAATGCTACCTTTAAAGGCCGAAAGTCAAAATTATTCCAAAACATCTTTGATGCATGAACATAAACCTGTCTCCTGCCCAGTTATTACACAGAAAATTTCACACAATTTTAATACTGTTTGAAAACTCACATTTGCAAGAAACATGCAATGGTATTTCTAATTTCAATCATGTATTTAATTTTAACTGTATAAAGCTGGTATTTGATGTGATGTTTCTGAACCTTGATTTACACTGCAGGTGCCACACTTAAAAAAGGATACCCCAATGCTTTAGTACCAACTCCCATTTCTCATCCCAGAACAACTCCGATCACTCTCCACCAGGGCCACGGAATACCTAATCCACAGATCCCACGCCAACCATTGAGTAACACCAGAATTAAGGTCCTAGTCTACCATAATCACTCCATGGGGTGAAGGCGGCTTCTCTGATCTTAGAGGCCAGATCAGCAATGACAGTAAAACGTATGGCGTTCTTAGTACCATACTTTAAAATTTAGGAGAGTGAGAGTGAGGCTGGAAAGCAAGCCAACTGATGTAAAGATGGCATATTTTGCTTGTAAGATCTGTGCTCCAGCCCATGCGGAGGCACTACCCGTGGTCCCTGCAAACACACATGTGAAATCCTGCTGGCGTTCACTTACAAGGACAGAAGTGTAATATTGGCTGAGACTGGTCCTAGATCTGGAATGGTCTCCAATTCATTGTTGTTCAGTTTCCTACAAACGCCAAAAAGAAAAAAAAAGAGGGAGGCAGGGAGAGAGAAGGGGGGGAGGAGAGAAAGAGAGAGAGAGAGAGAGAGAGAAGCTGGTTATGTAATCTGTAACACATAAAGGTGAAAACTTTACAAAGTTATTTAAAGACCCCTCCCAAGTCAGAAGTTATAAATCATTTACTGCAACCCAAATGTTCTTTACAATTAAACAGTGTGATGGGTAGTGTATTTTATTCAAACCTCAAACAGAAAATGACTAAACTCACACTTCTCGAAGGCTGTGAAGGCGGCGCATGGAGCTTGCCTCGATGAAAGACAATCTGTTGTGACTTAAGTCCCTACGAGAGAACAAAAATAAAACTGTAAGTCATTTCCAAAAATCACGAATAGCGCTCAACGGAGTGTGAGACAGGGTAGATTTATGAAGTCTCTCTCTCAACACCAGTGACAACATAAGAAATAACTGGTCCATCCTGGCCATAATCTAGAGGGCAAACTCCAAAATACAAACTCTGAGGACAAAATTAGTCTAGGAGGCTGGTCGATTCAAATGCTCCAAACCCGCAAATGTTTCAGGAGATGTTTTTTGGCCCAGGGTGAACAGACCTTTTGTGAAGGGGCTGTTTTGCTTTGCACTCCCCACCCCCTCCCATCCCCTCTCTCCCAACTCGATAGGATGAAGTCATAGCTTATGAAAAGTAGCTAATTAGGCAGGTTGCTGAACCTGAAACCTCTAAAGAAACCTTTTTATTATCACAAAACTAAGCATCGGTGTCCTTAATGCAGTCAGACAAAGTAGAACTTGCTTCTCACAGATCTTCCTTTCTCCGGGTTAAGGCGCCAAATTATTTAAAGTATTGCTGTGTGTGTGTATGTGTGTTGAGTGGGTAGGAACCCGAACTCTGTTTTCCTGAATTCCCCAAATCTCAGTATCTCAATATAATGTATAATTTAAGCCACATCGACCACCTAACAAAGTTAAGAAAACTGTACAGAAACCTGTGATCAGATTTCTTTTCAGTCATTAAAATAAATCTGCTCCTAACTCAGAGACTCCATCTAACATACTAACCATTTCCACAGGACATCAGTATTTAAAAGAAAGCAAAACAAAACTTCTACGTCTGCAACATTTTAGGCGAGGACTTCAGCTCAGGATTTAAGATTCAAAACGTGAAACAAAATCTGGCAAATACTTGACTGTATTGGTCAATACACTGAATCAGTGCCTTCAGAATGGTCTAATGAAAATGAAATGGTTGAACAGCTATAGAAAACCAGGCTGACCAACAGTATGGCTTAAAGCTCTCCCACTGGAAGAGGCTTACCAATCCTTACTAGATTAATTCCTTCAGTGTTCACAGGTGAAGATTTTTAAATGACCAAAGTCAGAGGTACCCAAACTTGACTGGAGAAAAGCAGGGACCATTTGTTACACATAAAAATATTACCTTCCCCCTAAAGAAAAAGGCAGAGAACTCACATTCAGAGAAGGGCAGTGTTACTGAATGCACGTCCCTTAGTTAACAATTAGAAATCAGAGACCCGTTCAGTCTTTGAATTTTTGTTTTGAGAAGAAATCTGGATTTCTCTATTTCACCTAAAAAAAAAATCTGCAAAGGTTTTATTTGAAACATGTTTGCCTAGAGACCTACCAGACACTAACAGACATGAGTAGATTTGTTCTGGTAGAGTTATAACATGAAAAAAACCTGGCGCAGTCCTTAAACTATAAAAATCCTGCAATTACAACCACTGCTGTGCACGCTCCCCACGCTGGAGCCAGACACTTTCCCTCCCGGCCCAGCTCACGTCCATCTGGAGTTCATCAAGGAAACCGTGAGCCCAACAACTCACGTTAGGATTCAGACAAAACCTGTGTGCTTTTAGCACCAGACAGTCACGGATTTCCCACCGGGTTTGAAAAGCAACCAAGGAAAAGAGCCCTTCACCTGGGAGGTAGCGAATCGACACAAAATCTCATTTGGACCCACTTAACTAAAGAACCGTGCACCAGCCTAAAACGGCACCCCCTACTGCGTCAGGTTTTCAAAGGAAAGGGGGCACCCATCTGGCCGTTGCATCTCATACAGGTGACTGTCTCTTTAATTAGAAAAAAACGAAAATTCCACCCTTCACTTCATTTTAAGGATTACTTCTCAGGCAATCCTGTGATGAGGAAAGAAAAAAAAGATGGAGTGCTTTAACTTTTTTTTTCTAACCAGTAAAAGGATGAGATCTCCAACAAAAGACCTTTAAAATGAGAAACTGCCTTCAGAGAATGGGGCACGCGCTGGGGACCACTCATTCTTGATCCAGGAGCAGGAGCTGAAAACCTTAAACATTTCAGTTACTGTAACACACTTCCAGTCCTGAGTTTTGTGTACTATTAAAACCATATTACATGTGGGAGAAAAAAAATCATCCTAAAGTGACTTTTATTGCTAAATACTTAAAGCCATGAAACTTCTAATGCACCTAAATTT